CGCTGTTTGCCTCTCGCCGCTTTTTGCCGCTTCCTGGGTTGTTTCGCGCTTGGAAAGCGGCGGTTTGGCGGTGGTTAAAGTTGGCTGCGTTGGGGGTTTTTCACTTTGTAGGGTGGGGGCTCCCTCCACACCCTTTTCCCTGGAATGGGGATCTTTCTGCACCCCTTTCCCAAGGAATGGGGATCTTTCTGCAACCCCATCCTAAAAGATTGGGATCCCTGTCATCCCCTTCCCAAGGGATTGGGGTCCCATCATCACCTTTCCCATGGGACCAGGACCCTCCTTTACCCCATTCCCAAGGGATTGGGGTCCCATCAATCCCCCCATTCCCAAGGGATGCCCATCATCTCCTTCACAAGGAACGGGGCTCCTCCTTTACCCCATTCCCAAGGAATTGGGGTCCCCATAATCCCTTTCCCAAGGAATGGGGCTCCTCCTTTATCCCTTTCCCATGAAATTTGGGTCCCCATAACCCCTTTCCCAAGGAATGGGGCTTTTCCTTTACCCCATTCCCAAGGGATTGGGGTGCCCCATTCCCCCATTCCCAAGGGATCCTCATCACCCCTTTCCCAAGGAATGGGGCTCCTCCTTTACCCCATTCCCATGGGATTGGGATCTCCACAATCCCTTTCCTATGGAATGAGGCTGCTCCTGCACCCCTTTCCCAAGGAATGGGGATTTTCCTTTATCTTCTTTTCAAGGAATGGGGCTCTTCCTTTACCCCATTCCCATGGGATTAGGATCCCCATAATTCCTTTCCAATGGAATGGGGCTGCTCCTGCACCCCATTCCCAAGGGATTGGGGTCCCCATCAATCCTTTCCCAAGGAATAGGAATCTTCCTTTATCCCTTTCCCAAGGAATGGGGCTCCTCCTTTATCCCTTTCCCATGAAATTTGGGTCCCCATAATCCCTTTCCCAAGGAATGGGGCTCCTCCTTTACCCCATTCCCAAGGGATCCCCATCAATCCTTTCCCAAGGAATAGGAATCCTCCTTTACCCCTTTNGACACGGGGCGGGGTGGGAATGCCGGGGAGAACGTGGATACCGGGCGGGGGTTGGAATATTGGAGGGAACATAGACCGGGTGGGAATGCCGGGGGTAACGCGGACACGGGGCAGGGGTGGGAATGCCCCAGGACACCGGACAGGGGTTGGGAATACCGGGGAACATGGATCCCGGGAATGGGTTGGGAATACCGCGGGACACCGGGCAGGGGTTGGGAATACCGGGGGATCACGGATCCCAGGCAGAGGTTGGGAATCCCGGGGGATCACAGACCCCGGCCAGGCCCCACGGCAGCCGCACCGGGGCCGGGCAACGGGCGGGACTCTGCGGAAGGCGCTGCGCGCCCCGGGACCGGCAGCGRCCGGGAGGAGCGGCGGAAAGCCAAACGCGGCTTTTCCCGGCCCCGGAGCGGGGGCTCGGCGCTCTCCCGGCTCGGTTCCCGCTCGGTTCCCGCTCACCTCCGGTGCCGCTCGTTCGGAACCCCCCGTGCCCGTTCCCATTCCCGTTCCCAATCCCGGGCTGGAGCCCCACGGGCCGGGCGGGGCTGGGCGGAGCCGCGGCCGGGCGGGAACCGCCGCTCCCGCGCGCGCGGCTTTTTTTAACCAYTATTTTTAATATTTCTTCCCTTTCCCGATTTTTTAATTTTCCCATCACACAGGAGGAAGAAGGAGGAAGAAGCCGAAGCGGGGTTACCCCACCCCACCCCGCCCCGCCGGCACTCACCGCTCCGGGGCAGCGCCACTCCGAGCCCTGCGCTCGCCGCCGGCCGGGTTAAAGCTCCCGGGGCCGGGCTGGTGTAAACAAGCTCCCCGCACGGGCAGGCTCGGCCCCTTCCTGCGCATTGGCTCCGCCGGCGCCTTCCAACGCAACGCCCCCGCCGCCACCGACACCGCCCGGCCCGGCCCGGCCCGCGGGAGGGGAGCGCAGCGCAGCGCCCGGGGGTGCAGCCCCCTCCTTCTCCTTCTCCCGTGCCTTTCCCCCTGGTTTTTCCTGGCTTTTCCCGGTTCTTCCCGGCCGGGGATGAGGCTCCGCTGTTTGCCTCTCGCCGCTTTTTGCCGCTTCCTGGGTTGTTTCGCGCTTGGAAAGCGGCGGTTTGGCGGTGGTTAAAGTTGGCTGCGTTGGGGGTTTTTCACTTTGTAGGGTGGGGGCTCCCTCCACACCCTTTTCCCTGGAATGGGGATCTTTCTGCACCCCTTTCCCAAGGAATGGGGATCTTTCTGCAACCCCATCCTAAAAGATTGGGATCCCTGTCATCCCCTTCCCAAGGGATTGGGGTCCCATCATCACCTTTCCCATGGGACCAGGACCCTCCTTTACCCCATTCCCAAGGGATTGGGGTCCCATCAATCCCCCCATTCCCAAGGGATGCCCATCATCTCCTTCACAAGGAACGGGGCTCCTCCTTTACCCCATTCCCAAGGAATTGGGGTCCCCATAATCCCTTTCCCAAGGAATGGGGCTCCTCCTTTATCCCTTTCCCATGAAATTTGGGTCCCCATAACCCCTTTCCCAAGGAATGGGGCTTTTCCTTTACCCCATTCCCAAGGGATTGGGGTGCCCCATTCCCCCATTCCCAAGGGATCCTCATCACCCCTTTCCCAAGGAATGGGGCTCCTCCTTTACCCCATTCCCATGGGATTGGGATCTCCACAATCCCTTTCCTATGGAATGAGGCTGCTCCTGCACCCCTTTCCCAAGGAATGGGGATTTTCCTTTATCTTCTTTTCAAGGAATGGGGCTCTTCCTTTACCCCATTCCCATGGGATTAGGATCCCCATAATTCCTTTCCAATGGAATGGGGCTGCTCCTGCACCCCATTCCCAAGGGATTGGGGTCCCCATCAATCCTTTCCCAAGGAATAGGAATCTTCCTTTATCCCTTTCCCAAGGAATGGGGCTCCTCCTTTATCCCTTTCCCATGAAATTTGGGTCCCCATAATCCCTTTCCCAAGGAATGGGGCTCCTCCTTTACCCCATTCCCAAGGGATCCCCATCAATCCTTTCCCAAGGAATAGGAATCCTCCTTTACCCCTTTCCCATGGAATTGGGGTCCCCCCATCGCCCCTCTCCCCTTTATCCTTTCCCAATAACTGAGATTTAAATCAACACCTTTTATGCTCATTTTGGGGTTTATTTCCATTCAGGATTTTGATTTCCCCCCCCTTCAAACCCTCACTTTTGGTCGCCATGACAAAAATCCCTAATTTTGGTGTTTGGCCCTTTATAGCACGGAGCTGATGCGCAAATGCTCTCAAAAAATGTTTATTTTTACCATCAACGAAAATACACGACCCAGGCAGGATTTTCCTACAGCTGTCCGAGGTAAAATATTGGGACGGGAAAGGGTTTTCAGCATATAAAAGATGAAACCCAATGCGATTTCCCCACAAAATATCTGTATTTTTGTTGTTCGCAAAAACAAATTCTCCAATTCACCCAAACAGGAGCCAAAATCTTCTGTTTGCAGAAACACTCCTGAATTTCCTCCCTAAGCTCCCGAGGCTTGGGTTTTCTAAGTCGGCTCATTATGCGTTGAAATTAAAATTAAAATGACAATTAAAATAACAATTAAAATGAAAATGGAAAGCGAGTGATTGTGTATGCGGAGGAGGACGGTGCCTGTGAAATCCATGGCCCGGAGATCTCACCTTGGCAGACTCGTTTTTCTGCCACGCCTGGGCAAAGGTGCTTTGGAACGGCGGGAATGGCATCCAGCGCCCCTCAGGATCTGGGATCAGCTCATTCCTTGGCTGCTTCTCATCTCCCTCCATGATCTCCCCCTTCATCTTTATCTTCATGATCTCTTATGGCCACCCCTCATCTCCTCCAAAATCTCCCCTCGTGGCTGCCCCTCACACGCCAAGGCCGCCTCTCATCTCCTCCATGATCTCCCCCTTCATCTTTATTTTCATGATCTGTCATGGCGACCCCACCCCTCATCTCCTCCAAAATCTCCCCTCATGGCTGCCCCTCACGTTCCCCACGATCTCCCCTCATGGCTGCCTCTCATATACTCCATGATCTCCCCTTGTGGCTGTTCCTCCCTCACAGCTGCCCCTCACACGCCATGGCCGCCTCTCATCTCCTCCATGATCTCCCCCTTCATCTTTTTCCTCATGATCTCCCCTCATGGCTGCCCCTCATCTCCCATGGCCGCCCCTCATGTTCCTCATGATCTCCCCTTATGGCTGCCCCTCATCTCCTCCATGATCTCCCCTCATGGCTGTCCCTGCCTTCATGGCTGCCACTCACACCCCATGGCCACCTCTCATCTCCTCCATGATGTCCCCCTTCATCTTCTCCCTCATGATCTCCACTCATGGCTGCCCCCATCTCCTCCACGATCTCCCGTCATGGCTGCCCCTCATCTCCCATGGCCACCCCTCATGTTCCACACAATCTTTCCTCATGGCTGCCCCTCATAAACTCCATGATCTCCCTTCATGGCTGCCCCTCCCTCATGGCTGCCCCTCATGTTCCTCACGATCTCCCCTCATGGCCGCCTCTCATATACTCCATGATCTCCCCTCATGGCTGTCCCTGCCTTCACGGCTGCCCCTCACACCCCATGGCTGCCCCTCATCTCCTCCACAGCCTCCCCTCATGGCTACCCCTCATGTTCCCCATGATCTCCCCCTTCATCTTTTCCCTCATGATCTCCCCTCATGGCTGCCCCTCATCTCCCATGGCTGCCCCTCAACTTCCCCATGATCTCCCCTCATGGGCTACCTCTCATCTCCTTCATGATCTCCCCCTTCATCTTTTCCCTCATGATCTCTCCCTCATGGCCGCCCCTCTCTCATGGCCGCCCCTCATGTTCCTCACAATCTCCCTTCATGGCTGCCCCTCATCTCCTCCATGATCTCCCCTCATGGCTGTCCCTGCCTTCATGGCTGCCACTCACCCCCCATGGCTGCCCCTCATCTCCTCCATGATCTTCCCCTTCATCTTCCCCATCGTTTCCCCTCATGGCCGCCCCTCATGGGCACCCCTCACCTGCCTCCATGATCTCCCCTCATGGCTGCCCCTCCCTCATGGCCGCCCCTCATCTTCTCCATGGCCTCCCCTCATGGCTGCCCCTCATCTCCTCCACGATCCCCTCATCTCCATGATCCCCTCATCTCCCCCATGATTCCCTCATCTCCCCCATGATCCCCTCATCTCCTCCACGATCCCCTCATCTCCATGATCCCCTCATCTCCTCCATGATCCCCTCATCTCCCCCATGATCCCACCATCTCCTCCATGATCCCCTCATCTACTCCACGATCCCCTCATCTCCCCCATGATCCCCTCATCTCCCCCATGATCCCCTCATCTCCTCCATTACCCCTCATCTCCCCCATAATCTCCCCTCACAACCCCAGCCATTCCCCATCTCCCCTGTGATCTCCCCTCACAACCCCGGCCATTCCCCATCTTCCTCACGATCTCCCCTCACGGTTCCCTCTCTCTCTCCCTCCCTCTCCCCCTCTCCCTCCCCCTCCATTCCCGCCCCCCGGCGCTGGCGGGAACGGCGCGTGCCCTCTCCGCCCCCCCGCCCTGAGTACGTGCAGTTCCCCACGAGGCGCCGCGCGCGCCCCCCGGGCCGCGGGAACGGCCCCCGCCGCACGTTCGCGCCCCCGCCCGCCCGCCGGGGGAGGTGGCCCGGCCCCGGCCAATGGCGAGAGGCGGCGCGGGGCCGGCGGCCAATGGCGAGGCGAGCCGCGGGGAGCCGCCGGGGAAAGCCCCGCCCCTTCGGGCGTTCATGGCGGCGGCGCGGAGCGAGTGGCGCCAGTGTCGGGCGGCGCCTCCGGCTGCTTTCCAGGGCTCTCGTTCCTCGGCGGKCTCGGGTSTTCAGYCCCYTCWGGCCTTCAGCGCTCTCAGTCCCTCAGCGCTTTATCCCCCACAGCCCTTCAGCGCTTTAGGCCTTGCAGTCCCTCAGCGCTTTTACCCCCACAGTCCTTCAGCGCTTTCAGCCCCCGCAATCCCTCAGCGCCTGCAGCGTTCTCAGTCCCCGCAGCCCTTCAGCGCTTTATGCCTTGCAGTCAACGCCTGCAGCGCTCTCAGCCCTTCAGCGATCTCAGCCCCCTCAGCGTCTGCAGCACTTTCAGCGTTTCAGCGCTTTCCCCCATCAGTCCCTCAGCCCTTCAGCGCTTTCAGCCCCCTCAGTCCCTCAGCGTCTGCAGCACTTTCAGTGTTTCAGCACCTTCACCCCCTCAGTCCCTCAGGCCTTCAGCACCCTCAGGTGTTCAGCGCTTTCAGCCCCCTCAGCGCCTGCAGCGCTCTCAGCGTTTCAGCATTTTCATCCCCTCAGGCCTTCAGCACCCTCAGGTGTTCAGTGCTTTCAGCCCCCTCCGTCCCTCAGCGCTTTATCCCCCGCAGTCCTTCAGTGCTTTCGGCCCCTTCAGTCCCTCAGCGTCTACAGCGCTCTCAGCCCCCTCAGTCCCTCAGCGCTTTATCCCTTACAGTCCCTCAGTCTGCAGCACTTTCAGCGTTTCAGCACTTTCACCCCTCAGTCCCTCAGCGTTTGCAGCGCTCTCTGCCCCCTCAGTCCCTCAGCGCTACAGTCCATCAGTGCTTGCAGGGCTTTCAGCGTTTCAGCGCTTTCACCCCTCAGTCCCTCAGCCCTTCAGCGCCCTCAGCCGTTCAGCGCTTTCAGCCCCCTCAGAGCCTGCAGCGCTCTCAGCCCCTTCAGTCCCTCAGCACTTTATCCCCCGCAGTCCTTCAGCGCTTTCGGCCCTTTCAATCCCTCAGTGCCTGCAGCGCTCTCAGCGTTTCAGCATTTTCACCCCCTCAGTCCCTCAGCGCATTCAGCCCTCGCAGTCCCTCAGCGCCTGCAGCGTTCTCAGTCCCCGGAGCCCTTCGGCGCTTTATGCGTTGCAGTCCCTCAGCGCCTGCAGCGCTCTCAGCCCTTCAGCACTTTCAGCACCCCCAGTCCCTCAGCGTCTGCAGCACTTTCAGCGCTTCAGCGCTTTCACCCCCTCAGTCCTTCAGACCTTCAGCGCCTTCAGCCGTTCAGCGCTTTCAGCCCCCGCAGCGCCTGCAGGGCTCTCAGCCCCCTCAGTCCCTCAGGCCTGCAGCGCTCTCAGCTTTTCAGCATTTTCATACCCTCAGGCCTTCAGCGCCCTCAGTCCCTCAGGGTTTGTAGCACCTTCAGCGTTTCAGAGCTTTCAGCCCCTCAGTCCCTCAGCGCTTTATCCCCCTCAGCCCTTCAGCGCTCTATCCCTTTCAGTCCCTCAGCGCCTGCAGCGCCCTCAGCCCTTTAGCGCTTTCAGCCCCCTCAGTACCTCAGCGTTTGCAGCGCTCTCTGCCCTTCAGCGCTTTCACCCCCTCAGTCTCTCAAGCCTTCAGCGCCCTCAGCGCCTGCAGGGCTCTCAGCCCTTCACAGCACTTTCAGCCCCCTCAGTCCCTCAGTGTTTGCAGCGCTCTCAGCCCCTTCAGTCCCTCAGCGTCTGCAGCACTTTCAGCATTTCAGCACTTTAACCCCCTCAGCCCTTCAGCGCCCTCAGGTGTTCAGCGCTTTCAGCCCCCTCAGCATCTGCAGCGCTCTCAGCGTTTCAGCATTTTCATCCCCTCAGGCCTTCAGCGCCCCCAGTCCCTCAGGGTTTGTAGCACCTTCAGCGTTTCAGAGCTTTCAGCACCTCAGTCCCTCAGCGCTTTATCCCCCACAGCCCTTCAGCGCTTTATGCCTTTCAGTCCCTCAGCGTTTGCAGCCCCTTCAGTGCCTCAGCGCTTTATCCCTAACAGTCCATCAGCGTCTGCAGCGCTCTCAGCGTTTCAGCGCTTTCACCCCCTCAGTCCCTCAGGCCTTCAGCGCCCTCAGCACCTGCAGCTCTTTCAGCCCCCTCAGTCCCTCAGCGCTTTACCTCTTTCAGCGTTTCAGTGCTCTCAGCCCCCTCAGTCCCTCAGCGCTTTACCTCTTTCAGCGTTTCAGTGCTCTCAGCCCGCTCAGTCCCTCAGCACCTGGAGCGCTCTCACCATTTCAACATTTTCACCCCCTCAGTCCCTCAGGCCTTCAGCGCCCTTCAGCCCTTTCAGCACCCTCCGTCCCTCAGCGTCTGCAGTGCACCCCAAAATGTTCACCCCAAAACGGGAACCCCAAAATGTTCACCCCAAAATGAGCACCCCAATGGGAGCACCCCAAAATGACCACCCCATAATGATCACCCCAATGTGGGCACCCCATAAAGGGAACCCCAAATGTTCACCCCACAATGGGCACCTCAAAATGTTCACCCTAATGTGGGCACCCTAAAATGAGCGCCCCAAAAATGTTCACCCCAAAATGAGCACCTCAATGTGGGCACCCCATAACGAGCACCCCAAAGAGTTCACCCCGCTGGGAGCACCCCAAAATGATTACCCCAAAACGGGCACCCCAAATGTTCACCCCAAAATGATCACCCCATAACAGGCACCCAACGTGACCACCCTAAAACGAGCACCCCAAAATGATCACCCCAATGTGAGCACCCCTTAACGGACACCCCACAATGATCACACCACAATCGGCACCCCAAAATGTTCACCCCATAACGGGCACCCCAAAATGAACACCTCGTGTTCACCCGAAAGTGTTCACCCCAATATGGGCACCCCAAATGTTCACCCCACAATGGGCACCTCAAAATGTTCACCCTAATGTGGGCACCCTAAAATGATCACCCCAAAATGAGCACCCCATAACGGGCACCCCAAAGCGTTCATCCCAATATGGGCACCCCAAAATGAGCTCTCTAAAATCGGCACCCCAAAATGTTCACCCCAATGTGGGCACCCTAAAATGAGCACCCCATAACGGGCACCCCAAAGCRTT